ATGGATGGATGTTCCATAGAGCATTACAACTTAGCTGCACTTGCTGATGATGATGTGTTAACTCGTGGATAGGGTAGTTGGTCTCCTGGTGTCCATGGTAGCAGGGGATACAGGGATTTCTGTGAGTGCATCACCCGGGAATGTGAATGAACAGAAACATGAACTGGGTGTATGTAGGTCTGACAAAGTTTGTATTTCCTGTCACAGCCGAGGGCACTGGAAGAGAGACTGCTTTGCTTTTAAAGCTGAGAATAAGCAGAATGTGCACTGTGCTGGCTGCTAAACGGTCAACAAAGACTTTGGTTGGCGAGTTACAGCCCCAGGTCTTTGGTCCAGACCGGGAGTCCTACTTGCCCTTCATCACTGAAGGATTTCTTTGTTTTGGTAGGAAGTGATGAGTCAGCTCGGCTTCACCATTTTTAGATAAAACTTGTACACGTTTTTTTTTTTTTTTAAATACCAGAGCTTGGGACGGGCTTGGAGGTGATGCTGGTACCTCAGCACAAGATGTTTTGAGGTGGAAGATGGTGTGACAGTGGTTTCAGGTAATGTTCCTCCTCCTGCTGTAACTTAAGCCTAATTTCTCCACATTGTTCTCTGTCAAAAACATTGTACTAGTTCATTATGACTCATGGACCCTCTTTTCCCTACAGCAAAACAGTAATAAGTTCTATTACAGGATTATATGATCAAGAGGATAAAACGTCTTGGAAATGACCAAACATCTCCTCAGCCAAGCCACAAACTCGTAGGCATTTTTGGATTTAATTTATTAAGGTGACAATTTCTATATTACACATCTTTCATTTACATCAGAAATTAAACAGGAAAAGAAAATAGAGTGTTACCATAAACCTCTTATTAAAACCTTTCTTTTACAAAAGAAAATTTGTTATTGACACCATTTACAACTTCTTTTCATATACAGGAGAGTGACAGTGGTTTAGTTGTATCCTGGAAAACGAGATTTAAAAAAAAAAAACAAAACCCAACAAATACGGAGCGGTGAATTATGATATTTACACAATTGCTTAACTAATATGTCCCCGGGATTTTTAATGTGTGATTAAAACGACATCCTGCATCGGGGGTGACAATCTGAGGCGAAACTGTAAATAGGCAACTTTACCAATCGACTGTTGATCATCATACATTCATTATTTGAACTTCGTCTCAGTAGTTGGCATCCCAGCTGAAGTCACGACGTGTCCCCCAGCTCGAGTCTTTCAGCTTTTTCCACACTGGTGCAGGTCCTTGTTGCTTCTCCACAGTAGGACTACGAGGGTCTGACCGAAGCCAGAGTATTAACTTATAATGAAAGCAACCCGTGCGGGAAACCGGTTATAAAGAATACCTGATGTCTACGGGTGGAAATAAGGCTACCTGAAGGCTAATGACAGACACCGCTGGATGCCTCACATGCTGCGAGAAAATAAAAGTGCTGTGCTTTGTCAGACTAACATCACCTGTTTCTCAGTTGACCACACCTCTCTTCTCAGTGTGTATTTAAACTTCACTCCAAAACCCCCCACCGCATTCTACATCCAAGATAAATTAGTAGTTTAATCATCTTTAAGTGTGCTACTGCTGATCAGGTGTGTGACGCTAAACTATCCCGTTTCTAGACACACTCGACACAGGGTGAAGCATCGGGAGGTTTTCTTTCATCTGTTCTCAATCCAAGCTGTTTTTGGAATCCATAATTAACAAGAGATCCTCGGCCACATGATTTCACCGCGTGTCAGTGTTTCACTTTCAATCCATCAGTAAAAACAACCGACAGGAACAGGAACAGAGGTAAAACGCTCCTTTAAGTGGAAAAAGGGAAGACGAAAGTTTTAAATACTGCATCTTTCTTTGACCAAATGTTAAATAAATATTTTTTAAATTCTTCTAATTCACTCTGTTGAGCATTAAAAAGTCAAAATAAGACGAGAGAGCCGACACTCAAATTCAAAATGCTACATGTTGGTGTGTGTGAAGAGCTACATGCGATTTGTTTTAACGTGTTCATTCAAAATGCCTGTTAAGATTTTTTTAAAAATTGATTTGGTTTGACTTTGTTTTGGTGTTTTTTCACTTTAGAAATCATTATTCATGCCTAAAGGACTTCTTTAGGAGCTTGTTTTTGTCGTCCCACGAATTAAAAGACGGGAAATGTCTTTAAAGCTGATGCTAAGATGAATAACTTACATGTTTCTAGGAGAACACTCTAATCCATGATGTCCCATTCCACATCACGGCGTGCAAACTCTGGCCCTATAAAACTAGGGTCAGTTTAAGTTCTGCTCCACCACTTGTTTAAAACATGGAGGCTGCAACACTTTTCACAATCATAAATCGATTCACAGATCAAATACTGTATCACCAGGAACACAAAGCAGGCGTGTCTCCCAAATCTCTCCGAAGCACCAAGATTGTCTGTTATTTCTGCGTTAATTTGAAGCACTACTTTTTTTAGAAACTCACCAAGTCAAAGCTAACGTCTTAGACTGCCACGTGTTACTCGTCCGCTTTAGTCAATAAAAAGAAATCCAGATCAAAAATGTGAGGTTCTTCCTAATCCAACAAAGAATATTAGAACAACAAAAGTGGCTTTTTTTTTTTTTTTTTTTTTTTGGTGGAACTTTCTTTTAAAGAAAAACCAATAAACAAACAAAACAAAAACAACAACACACCCCCTCGATCTTGTGTTAAATTCATTACCGCTGTGATCCGGTGACTCTTCTGACCAACCTGCCATCAAACGGTCACGTGCAGGGAAAGGAGACGCTACTGTAGTCCTGGTAAGCAGATGTCACGGAGGGCGAGTTTTCAGGTTCCCATGCGTAATTTTGGCAAACATTCTGAGAGACAGGAGCAGCTTGTGTGTTTTGGTTTACGACGATACAAAATTTTTCCTCGTGCCAGTCGGGCGTTGAGAGGCCTGCTGGGAGCTCGGTGTGCCGGGCGGACGCCCTAAAAATCCCAACGACATGCAGGCAACGATCTTGCACACGCTCCCGTAGAAGTACCATAGAGGCGCATGCATGTATGGGTGCAAACTCCCAAAACACCCTCCCGCTCTGAGGAGGCTCCCTGATTTGACTGGTGAATTTTATTCCTTCAGACTCCTGCACCCAGAGTTTCAGCTTCCCCGGGTGTCTCTCACTCCTGTCCAAAGCCTTCTGTCTCCTCAATGGCGAACATCAGCTTCTCTTTCAGTTGCTCGTAGCTCTTATAAGGCGGCAGGTCCAGTCTGTTGAAGCTGGGAAAACAACAGCAGAAATATATTTTAGCTCGACTTCATTTCACTTCAAAGTCTTTTACAAACAGCTGAAGATGAGAATCAGACAAAACTTTTGACCCACGAGTGACGACTTCCTCACAAGACTTTTTCTGGTAGCTGCCTGGAATTATCTCCTCACATGTAACAGCTAGCCAAGCAAAGAAAGCAAACTAAAGCTGGAAATGCACCAGCTTCTTACAGTAAACTGCCACTAATCATTCATTTAAAAAAAAAAAAAAACTGATAGAATAGAATAGAATATCCTGTATTACTCCCACAAGGGTAAATGTGCAACATCACAGCAGCAAAGTGACAGAAAGAAAAGCATGAAAACACGACTATAAATAAAGGAGGCGAGGTATATACACCATATACACAATATAAATAAGACAAACAGAAGAACACGAGGAGACCAAGAACACAAATTTCAGAATATTTACATGATCCACACAAAGTCTGCTCTGCAGCCACAGACTCACCATGTGTGACTTCTAGGGAGCCAGTTTTCTTTTCCGACCTTCTCAATACAGAACTTCTGAGGACCGTTGCTTCCTAAAAAGTTAAGCAGGAGTTCATTCAACAAACCACCATCAGTGTGACAGATTAAACTGAGAAACCACAAGTTATTAACTTTACAGTTTCCAAGCCAACATTTGAAAAACTATAAATGGTTTAATTTAGAACTTACAGAAAGGTAGAAATATGCAACTAAATAATCAACAAACAACAGGTTTGTACAAAATCAAAACAGAACGGAACCCTTTGCGTTTGAATGAGGCTCAGAGTGGTATCCTGACATCGGCAATCAGCATTTACGATTAAACGCTAACTTAAAAAGTTGTCATTACCCATGAGGTCGGCGAAACCTCCGACAGGCAGACGACACGTCCCAGTGACAAACTGCAGCAGCCTCATCCTCTTCTCGTTGTCCATCTCCTTTATGAACTGCAGGGAAAAGATTATACAACTTATTAAATCAGCTACGAGTACAACAAACAGCATCATCCTGCATAAACTACTGTCAGAGGTCAGAGATGCACTTTTTAACCCACAGAACACCAAGCAGTTTCTATCACATTTTTATTAGCTTAAGCTTATTTTTCACTGCAATATAAAGTCCTGCACCTCCGTGGAAACGGCAAGGAGTAGAGGGAACTCAAAAATGTCTTTTGCGCAGTGTTTAAAGATTCTTGTTAGTGCAAAGGTTTTGTTTTTGGAAAATTGTGGAATAAAGTATACAATATCTTGATGGAATATCACAATTTCAGGCTTCTTAGATCTTAGTTTATCAATAGAACGGCACATAACAGATGAGCAGCTAGAGCACCAACACAAACTTCAAAAGATGGATTTTAATGGTTTGTACCTTTGACAACTTGTGTAATTTGTGTACTTTTTTCTAACTTGTCAGTGCGATTTTGGCCACAGAGAGTTACCACAATACCCCTCAAACATAGAAATAGTTCTATATAAATACATAAACTAGTGTGCAGAATATTTTACAGTGGAGAACAGATATAAATGGATCACCGTTGTAGCGTCACACTGACCTGCCAGAACCACATGATCTGTTTGCTGCTGCGAGCGTAGTGTCTGTAGATGGTGTTTCTCTGCCAGTCTGCCAGGTCGATCTCCTGCATACCGCACAGCATCACCTGGAACAGGACACACAGAGTTTAGACCAAAGACGTGGGTCTCCTCTTCTGCAGCACAAAAAGCAACATGTAGTGCGAGCGTCTGAGCGTCTAAACGTACTTCTAGCTCCTTAGCGTCAAAGTACTGCAGGTACTGCTGAGGGAGGACCTCGTTGAAGCCTTCAAAGAAAGCCTGCGTCTGCTCCTCCACTCCTCTGGACAGCCGCCACTCTGCCACCAGTCTGTAGGAGACACACACACACACCCACTAAGTCTACAATAACACTGAATTTATATGTTCTGTTTGGATGAAAACTTCATTTAGGAACACACTGAACCAACCACAGAACAGGATCAATACCGTAGAACAACCTAATAGAACCATGGACATGAACTAAGCACTGAATTAAGTTGATAAAAACCCACCGGATGTACTCCTCCTTGTTCTCCTCTGTAACCTGGATGTCTCCTCCTCCTGGCTTCAGTTCATGAGTGGTGACTTCCCCCAAGATCTCCTTGTCAACAGAGAAGAACATCTCCAGGCCGCACTCCTCGATGTCGTTGTCCCTAAAGAGCAGCGGAGAGCGTCAGACTCCTCCAACAGTCAGCGCCATTCAATCCAGCAGCACTCGACCTGCCTCACATTTCTCTTCCCCTTTGCTGTTATGTGTTAAACTTATATTGCATTCCAGACACTGACTGTCTGACAGACACAGCATGATGTACCACTAGTCACTATTTTTTTTAACCTGTTGACACACAGGTGGATCCCAACTCTGCGGGCCTCAAGATTGTGTTTTTCATGGTGTTGTACACGTTTATATTGGGGGATTTGCTGTTGCTAAGATCGAAATTGGTGTCTTCATTTATACCTTAGCTACACTTGCAAGTCAGCTGACTTCAGATTCAACTAGCTAAGACTAGTTAAGGAAAAACACGGTGCACTTGATTGGTTTATCGGGCGCGACTAATAGAATGTTTAATAGGTCGCACGATTATGAAAAAGTTTCGTCGCGCTTGTTGATTTTTGTTCACATGTGTGATCCAAGTTCCATGAGATGAAAAGCAAACTGACTACAGTCCCCTCCGATTCACATTCAATTCATCAGCGATTAGGTTTTGACAAGTAATCCTACGAATAAAACACTTCTTGCAGACTCAAACACAAAGACTTGCCTCTTGTACTTGTACAGTGCAGCATCAGAGAATCAAATCATCCACTGGCACGTACTCAGCAAAACGCTATAAACGGATTCCCCTCAGGGTTTAAACTTTCACTCAATAAATGACAAGTGAGACATAAAGCGGGCGTACGCAAGTTTATAATCTTTCACAGCGAACTAAACGACCACACGGAATAAAAAAAATGCCTCGCCTTTTAAATTTGCCATAAATTTAGGATCCTACATCTCTCAAACTGTTCTCCACACGACAGCCTACAGATGCTACTCACTTGATCCACATGAGGGAATTGTAGAACTCGGGATCGATTGACTCCAGGTCTTTGAGGGCCAACGGCTTGTTCAGGATGCGCTTGTAAAACGGCAGCGAGAAACCGGTGTCGATGAACTTGCCGTGGAAAAGAGCCTGAGGGACAAAAACGCTGCGTCATTGTTTGATTCCATTTATTCCAGACGTCCTCTACTGATCTGTCCTCAGAAAACTCATGCAAGACGACCGCGGGGTCAAACGACTAACCATGGCGATGAAGCGTCCGATGAACTTGAAGTACTTGAGGTGGTCGGGGTTGATGTAGGAGGCCGGGTTGATCTGAAGACAGTAGTTGTCTTTGCCGGCGTATTCAAACAGGCAGTACATGGGGTTCAGAACCTCGTGGGACAACAGGAAGAACCACTCCCTGTAAGAGACGACGCAGCAAACATTAGCTCGTCACTGCAAACCTGCCTTTGTAATGATACAACAATAATAACTTTATTTATGCAGCACCTTTAAGAACGGCGTTCACAAGGCGCTTTGACAGTAAAAACATGCAACACAGAGACAATCAAGGAAGTCTGAAGAATAAAAGAATTAAAAACGACATCACATCAAAGACCTAGGCAGCTAGAAATTAAGAAACAAAAACAAAAGAGAACATGTAAACAGGTGGATAGTGCATAAAAACAGAATGAAACACTAAAAGTAATTAAAGCTAAACGTAAACTTCACAAGTTGACAAAAGTGGGTTTTAAGAAGTGATTTAAAAGAAGTTACTGACTCAGCAAGCCTTATCTCTTCAGGCAGGTCGTTCTAAAGCTCGGTCACCCTTAGATTTAAGCCTCGACTTCGGAGCGACCAAAAGGGAACCACCTGAGGATCTAAGGCTGCGAGCGGGCTCATAAGGGGTCGACAGATCAGAAATGTAGTTTGTGGCGAGACCCTGGCGAGCTTTAAAAGTGATCAGTACAATCTTAAAATCAATTCTAAAACAAACATGGAGCCGGCAGAGGGAAGCCGAGATAGGCGTGATGTGATGTCGTCTGTTTAAACCGGTAAGAAGCCGAGCTGCTGGAGGCGAGAGAGAGACTCATCGGGAACGCCAGAAAAGAGGGAGGGAGGGAGTTGCAATAATAAAGACCGAGAAAAGATGAGTGCATGTAGAATTTTTTCCAGATCCAGGTGTGAGAACATCGGCTTGATTTTGGAGACTGTTCTGATTTGGAGGAAGCAAGACTGGATAACTTTTTTGATATGTGGAGCGACACTGAGGTCTGAGTCAAATAAAACGCTTACATTTCTGGTAACGTTAGTGGACAATGGACTGAGGTTGTTGGTGGTGTCTTTATGAAGACAACAGTCCCAAACTTCAGCTACAGTCTAGTTCAGCCTCTAATCAGTCAAAAGTAAAGCAAGTTACAAAAGATCCAAACCATTCTTTAGATATGGATCAAACTAATTTCTTTTTTTTTTTTAAAGTTATTTTTTGGCCTTTTTGCCTTTATTTGAGAGGACAGTTGAAAGAGAAACAGGAAAGTGGGGAGAAGAATGGGGGAAGGGCCATGAGCGGGATTCGAACCCATGGCCGCTGCATTGGAGACTATAGCCCCTGTACATGGGTCGCCAGCTCAACCAGGTGAGCTATGGCAGCGGCCCGATCAAACTAATTTCAATTGAACTTCATGTTCTGCAACAACAAAACTTGCGAGAGCACACAGTTTCTCACTCACCTGGCGACGCCCCCGTAGTCGAGGCCTTCTTCTCCAGGGAAGATGATCCAGAGCCTCCTTCGCAGATCCTGAGCGTTGTTGAAGCTCATTATCTAAAATAAGGAGAATGAAACAATAAACTGGTGGTGTGGTCACTGTATCACTGTACACAGAAGAATAACTCAGGATATTATAGCTTCTCTCAGGCTCTTAAGCACATTTGCAGAACCGCTGTTGCACTTTTCAACCCAGAAAACTGCAAACTTGTGCATGCAACAGGTTTGGAGTCAATTCACTGTGCCTCATTAGATGTTCACCTGTACTCCCTGCACTTTTTCTGTGTTATGCTGTGGTAACAGATGAACACAAGCCCTTCAAACTATACATGGGAACGATAATAAGAGATAATAAGGAGCTCCTACGTAGAATTTACACATTAATATTAATTCTCTATTCCCTCCAGATAAAACATGGATATACAGGACAATGTACATCTCCATCATTGATTTTTTTGTGTACACCAACATATTTAAATTATACATTTGAGTTCCACCCAACAAATGCACCACTGCAGCTAGAGGCAGAGTAGATAAAGCGCCATACCTTAATAGCAAACAACAACAACAACAGCTTGAGAGGAAAAGCTTCGGTGAGTCACTGTACCTGCTGGAATGAGTCCTCAAACAGGGTTTTTCTGGACACCGTGATCTTGATGTGTTGAGGCATTGACAGTTGCTGGAGAAAAAAAGGAAAAACGTCAGGAGGATTTAGCACCCAGTTAGTCATGGCAGGACACCTAGTGATTCATTTTTACGCTAAAGAGTCGCAGTCACTCCACCCCTGAAGACTGAATTATTACTGTCTGCATCTGTATTGACTGTACGATGTTTGGCTGATGTCTATAAAAGACTAAAACAAGCACGGACTGCGCTCTCCTCTACAGCACATGTACGACCAACACACACAGGTGTCATTAATCTACATATACAGTTGAAACCAGAAGTCAACATACACTGAATAAAAAGTGAGTGTATGTAAACTTCTGACTTTGAAGAAAGGAATTAAAAAAATTCTCTGTCTCGTTATTCTGGCATTTAGCAAATAGAAATGATTTTGATAATCCTAACAGGAAACGTTTAGTCTGATTTGACGTCAGACAGTGAGAAATAAAAGGTTATGTGTCTTTTTATACAGTGTACGTAAACTTCTGGTTTCAACTATAAATAAGTGAGTTTAGACATGGCTAATTTAATCACTTCAAAAAACAAATTTACCTGAAATAAACTTGATTTCTTGCATTATTATCACTGACATGACTCAAAGTAGATTGCGACGCAGCCCCATCAAGTACAGAATGACACAAATTTATCTTGCAAGATTATTATTATCGCACACGATGCCTGATTTGGGCGAGCTTGTACCACAAAAGTCAAAGATTGCAGTTTTTATTTTAAGCCTATCAGTGAAACGAGCAGCGACATGGCAAAAGCATGATTGCATGATCCCTCGCACATAATATGTAACTGCAAAAAAATAATAATACCGTAATTTCCGGACTACTGAGCGCACCTGCATATAAGCCGCACCAAAGAAAACCAGTTTTGTACATATAGAGGCCGCACTTGTCTATAAGCTGGAGGTGTCTATGAGATATTTACACAGAAAGATTTTTTAAACTTTTAATTAAATGTGTACCGGTAACATACACAAATACGTAAATGCTTTTTTCCAAACAGTTCCTGTAACACAGCTGGTTAAAAAACTAAAACTACAGCAGCCTACCAGGAGAAGTCATTGATCGCTATCTTCATCTTCCTCCCGCACTAAAACCACTAAAGTCGTCTTCTTCAGTGTCCAAATTGAACAGCCTCAGAATTACTTCGTCACACACTTCCTCAGTCTCTCTTTCGTTGTCACTCTGACTTTTGTCTCGAGGCAAATTTGTAAAAATCGTAAAAATCCATAAATTAGGCGCACCATTGTTGAAGCCGTAGTGTTAAAAGCGTGTGAAAAAGGTAGCGGCTTATAGTCCGGAAATTACGGTAGTTCTTTCCTAATAAAGAATAAACTGAATCAGTCTACTGATGCAATGATGGGAAAGAAACATGATGCTCAAGAATAAGTAAATCCTGTCAAACTGTTTCCCGTCTTGAGTCTTACCTGGCACCAGAATCTGAAGTATTGTACTTTGGCTTTGAAGTCTCGAACGTAGGTGATCTGAGGTCCATTTTCACTGTGACAAAAAAACAGAGACAGACAAATGATTTAACATCTCAAAACATACTAAATGTTATTGTAAGATACTTGTGTGCTTGTATCATGAGCTTGTATTTGGTGCTTATGTCATCATGACGCCACGATCCTCGATGCAGATTTACTGGCAGGTGCGACTACACTCAAGTTAAAGCTGGCGTAACTACAAAAAGAGCAACAGCACAATAGCCTTTGTAAAGGTGTAAATATGTTGAGGACGCTTTAGTCAGACGCTGCTGCTGCTGCTGCTGCTGCTGCTGCTGTCAGTGTATTGTCGCATTCTTGTCCCGGTTCGCAAAACTGGTTTTCCGACCGCTGGAAACAAAGCAAGAGTAATTGATGCCGCGTCATGTCAGGGCGATGCGTCACAAGGTCTAAATATACCTGCTGAAACTGAACTCCCGAAACAACAGAGCTTCCTGCTGAGCTGCTACATCGTCAAATTTAACTAAAAATGAAAAAAAAAAATACTTGGAAAAAATGACCCATCAGCTTTAAGTAAGTATTTATGTCTGAGAAGCAGCTTTAGGAGTTAATTTATAACATTATGCCACAAACAGTAGATCTGGCTGGCAACACATGACGCTCACCTCATGTGTGGCTTGTAAAGGTGCTGAAAAGACTACGTACAGCCAGAAAGTTACTGACAAGAGAGTCCAGGCAACATGTAGTCAATGTACGAAGGAGTTCTTTTTCTTTTGAATTTAACCTTTCATGCATGTGCCCATTTCCACTGAAGTAAATGCTTCAGCCTGTTTTTAGTGACTTCCTAAACTCTCAGAATGCCTTTTAAAATCAGGAAACACGTCTGCATAGGTGTGTATCTAGTCTTCACATATCCTGACAACCGTTTCATACTCGACGAGTTTAAAGCGGATGAGCAGTGGTTCTTTTTTTTGTTTTTGTGCCGTTCAGCCTGACATTAGGTTGCCTGTCAGTGGAGCACCTGTTTTTGGATAATCGGACTCACTAGATGTAGGCTGCGTATGTCACTCCTCCCCTTCTGCTGTCTACGTATTAACAAAATTGTCTTCGCTACAGGAAACGACAGCCTACCCACAATAAAGGTTTGGGAACTATTTGGCTGGTCCAGTGAGGCAGTCCTGATGGTTTTTTCAGTAAATTAGTCATTTAATGACAGTTTTTGCCTCCCTGCATGTATATGTTTGACCAAAAACAATTCCCTCCCCACTATTTTGAGGGGGCATCGTTGCTACATCCTTGGTTTAGCTCCATTCAATATGACTGGTTTAAAAAAAAATAAAAAATACAAAAAAGTCAAAGCGATTTTCCCCTCGATAGCAAAATGACAACAAGGTTATTCTGTGCTGCACAATGGTCTAGTTGCTGGGAGGGCAAGATTGTGCCACATTGGTCTGTAAATATCCGATATAACCACTGACAGCAGGCTTTGCATTAGCTCCAATTAATGCAAAGACGTGGTAACACACTGCTTCCTCATCAGTTGTTGAGCATCGTCTTTAGTTAGCAAGCTTGCTTGTGTCTTACGAGAGTCCTAGAAGGCTGAAGATTTAAAGACAACGACATGATGGAAGACGTACAGTGAGGATTTTCCAGTGCGAGGGTCGATGTAGGTGGTGGTTCTCCTGTTGTGGTCGACAAAGTAAGGAATGCCATCAACGGTGAACCTCATCTCCCAGCCTTCTGGGAGCGGCTTCTCATTCAACAACCTGAAAAATGAGACCAAACGTTTGGTGACGGGCGGCTTTAGGAGAAGTGCAAAAAACAATACAGGAAAATAAGTTCATGATGTACAGCTGAAAGAAGTTTACACACACTGTATAAAAAGACATAACTTATTTATTTTTTCACTATTTGACATTAAATGTGACTAAACCCTTCCTGTTTTAGGTCAGTTAGGATTACCAAAATTATTTCTATTTGCTTATCCTAACTGGTTTTATGTCTTTTTATACAGTGTATGTAAACTTCTGGTTTCAACTGTGTACACATGTTCATCTGATAATGCCTGCAGGGAAATACACCATCACACACACAGACTAACCCTTGTGTTCGTGGGTCCTCCCACTGCGTTGACCGTGTTGGATGATGCACAAAGTAAACTCTGCCATTGCTGTCCGTTCTTTTCTCTGAAAAGACATCATAACAATCAGTCAATTATCAGGTTACCAGTCCAGTGCTTCACTTCAGTTTAGGGCGGCTACTTGTCAAGGATTAGGAATAGACTAATCAGATCCAGCATTTTTTAAAAATGATTTCTGCAGCGTGAACATAAGTAAACTGAGGCATTACGACAAAGTTTTATATTGGAGTTTATGTTATTGTCAATTTTTACACCACAATTTTCTTCTTATTGCAAATTGTGCATCATCTCTTTGATTACTAATAATCTGCATATGATTTGAAAAGACTTCTAGTTTGTAGAAAGTCTATAATTTCCACCACCACCTCTTATTTCACAGAAACTTCAAATTCTACATACATTTACCTGCCACCATCAAAGTTAAAACCCATAAAGACTGTGTGTTTAACATGATACAGATAGGATGAAGCATTTTATACGGCATCGTAAAAAACAGCCAATAGGTCTGACAGGAAAACAATCAAATAGACTAAATCTGCAGAACTAAAGGAAGAAATTCAGTGACATTTTTCTGGTGCAAAGGAAAAAACTCCAGACCACAAGGGCTCCCGAATCTGAAGAGATTTCAGCTGCAACTTTGAATTTCTGCATGTGTCTGAAATCATTGTTGAAAACTAACAAACATTTTGGTTTACGTGTGTATTTAAACCGAAATGCTCTGATGATCTCACCCCATCCATGTGGCAGAGGTCCGAGAGGATCAAACTCCTTGTTCTGAGTGACGGAGACCTGGTCTTGTAGCTACACAGGAGAAAAACAGAATTAATAGGAATCAAAAAGCACCTGAAGAACAGCGACGTTAGCTGCATTTGTAAATGCACGAGGTATAACAGGTGAACTGGATATGAGGGCAGGAAGAATAAGTTAGATTGTAAAGGCCCGATACTTCCTTGTCTCACATGTCCCTACAGCTTAAAATGCCTCAAAGATGGTTTGTTCTGAAAACCAATGAGCTGCTGCTTTCTGCGTTTGCGATTGACGGCGTGACACAAAACAGCAGATTACACAGCTGCTGACACCGAGAGACCAGGACCTTTCTACTACTTCTAACTTTCTCTCTGGATTTGCAGCACAGTCGTTGTTTTTGCCTTATGGGTCATTTCATGCCAACTCAGCGAGGGCCTCCAAGTTGAGGTCGTGGATTTTCTTGAAATAAATAACGCAAATCTTCTACCCAAACTACGGAATCTTGCAAAATCCTACAAATCTACTTAACATACTTTTTGAGTTATGAGTTAAAAAAAAAAAAAAAAAAAAAAGCCCTCTGTGTTAATTTTTATAACATCAGTGATTCTTTTAAAGCCTCACCAATAACTGATTAAAATTTTTTTTTTTTTTTACTGAATATCCCAGAAACCTTGTGTTCATGTCAATAGCTTATGCAGTTTTTGTTTTTTCTTAACAGAAATTAAAATAAAAAAAATCTATAATTTATCATCAAAATGAAAAATCTCTCCACTAATATTCACTCAATTCCAACCAAATTTTAGTTGTGGGTAGAAACAACTTAGTTTTGTCATATTAAAATGTTATTTGGTGCTGCATCTTAGATTGACTGCCACAGGTCTTCCTGAAATTTGCTTTGGAGCTGGAAAATCCCCCTTTTGGGATATTTTAGCAGTATTTTTTGTCAGGAAGGATCGTTTTTTATTTCTTAAAATTTTCTTAAGGGAATGTCTTCATATCCATTGAAAACATGTTAAAAATTTAAAGATGTGATTCTGAGATCGGGCTGACTTGACCTGGAACGACTCTTATGTGTACGGTGAGTTTGTCAGACAACGCTGAAGTTATAAAATCAGAGGGTAAGCAGTACATACTTCACAGAGCTCCGACCTGTGGGCATAGGATAAGATAAGATAACCCTTTATTAGTCCCACATTTGCAGCGTTAGAGCAATACCATTAAAGCTAATGGTAGCATTAGCTGAATTAGTCATGCAATATGCTAACACTGAGGATTTTCCAATTGTTTGCATGACATTACCATCATAAACAAAAGTAATCCACTGGGCCTTTAGTTCCTCAGATGCTTGTGTTTGCTCTCGCCGTCAGCAGAACATTTGGAGTGCTTTGCCTGTGGCTAGAACACTTTAGAGTTAGCAGAAGCAGCTCTAGAAAGTAAATAAACCTGATGAACTGAGAGACAGCTGCTCATTCTGAACGGTTTACCGGGAAGCAGCGGGAAGGGAGGAGGCAGAGTTACGCAAAGTTTAAGCCAGAC